ACTAGGTCACATACAAAGAGAAAGCTGCGTAGGGAAAGGAGGCCTCCTGGAGCCTGCTGCTCGCCTCTGCAAGTCAGGCAGGTGTTCGAATCCCGTCTCTTACCTGAAGCGAGCCTAAATAAGTAAATAAGTCAGTGTATTTTTTTAAGGTTTATTTTTATTTTGTGTGTGAATGTTTGCCAGCATATAAGTGCACCAAAGCAAAGCAGTGCTCTTGGAGGTCAGAAGAGGGCATTAGATTCCCTGCAACCCGAGTTATAGACACTTGTGACCTGTGACCTGCCATGTGGGTGCTGGGAAGGGAGCCAGGGACCTCCGAAAGAGCACTGAGTGCTCTTAACTGCTGAGCCATCTCTCCAGCCCCTATTGCATTTTTTAAAGATATATTTATTTATTTATTATGTATACAGTGCACTGCCTGCATGCCAGAAGAGGGCGCCAGATCTCATTACAGATGGCTGTGAGCCACCATGTGGTTGCTGGGAATTGAACTCAGGACCTCTGGAAGAGTAGTCAGTGTTCTTAACCTCTGAGCCATCTCTCCAGCCCCCTGCATTCTTTTAAAAGCTTTCATTCACTATGTAATCTGGTACCTAGCGTGGCACCTGCATTACCCTTATGACCACCCTACAAGGGAGGTACAGCATTCCTTGTGTGGTAGACACTAGGTTAAAATCTTTCAGTCCTTGATAGAAAGTGATGTAAGAGAAAATTCATTAAGAATCCTCCCCACCAGGGCAATGGTGGTGCATGCCTTTAATCCCAGCATTCAGGAGGCAGAGCCAGGTGAGTTCTAGTTCTGTGAGTTCGAGGCCAGCCTGGTCTACAGAGTGAGATCCAGGACAGGCACCAAAACTACACAGAGAAACCCTGTCTCGAAAAACAAAAACAAAAAGAATCCTCCACAGCAATGTCATAGCCGTGCACACTCTTAATCCCAGCACTCAGGAGGCAGAGGCAGGGGGATCTCTGTGAGTTCGAGGCCAGTCTGGTCTTCATAGCCAATACTGGAACAGCCAGGGATACATAGGGAGACCCTATCTCAAAACAAAACGAGCAAAACCCCCTTCTTGCCACGCTGGTGGCAGGTAACAGCTGACTTTGAGACGTGAAGCAGGAGAGCTGTCAGTTCGGAGGCTGCCTGGGTTCCAGGAGCTTGCCTCCCAGCCACACAAGCACTTATTCCTAAGCCGAGGGGCCTCGCTGTCACCCCCACTCACTCTCTTCCCCGGAAACCCTTTCCTTCCATATGGCCACACAGCGCGGAGTGTGCAGATTATGACTCCCTGCCCGAGTCTGAGACCCAGCCACACTTCCAGGGCGTGACAGGACTGCGGAACCTGGGCAACACGTGCTACATGAACGCCATCCTGCAGTGTCTCTGCAGCATCTCCCCGCTCGTGGAGTACTTCCTCTCCGGAAAGTACATCACCGCTCTTCAGAAGTAAGAGGCGATTCTTCACTGAGCTCTACCCCGCCCCAAGTCCCCGAGGAAGGACCTGCTGGAGTCCTTGTGAAGGGCTGTACCAGCCCGGGCACTGTAGGTCCCTGGATAGCACATCAGGGATGAGCCCAGCAGGGAGGGCACACAGAACTGATGCAGGGGCATGGACTGACCCTGGGCTTCCCTAACCGGGCCTTCGCTTTTCATTAAACCAGCAGGGAATATTTGCCCTTTGACCCCCTCTTCTTCCCAGGGACTGCAGTGACGTCACCACCGCCTTTGCCTACCTGATGACAGATATGTGGCTTGGGGACTCAGAGTGTGTCTCACCAGAGATATTTCTGTCGGCTCTTGGCAGTCTCTACCCAGCTTTTCTGAAAAAGACACAGCAAGATGCACAGGAGTTCCTGATTTACGTCCTCAATGAGCTTCATGAAGCTTTGAAAAAGGTAAGAACTAACTGCCTGGAGCTAGGACATGTGCACCTTTATCAGAAGAAAATCTGCGTGTGTGTGTGTGTGTGTGTGTGTGTGTGTGTGTGTGTGTGTGTGTATCTCCTGCCTTGCACTGAGTAGGGCAGGGCTCTGGGTGCTGAGGGTCCTGACAAAAATGTCCGGGTTAGGATATTTGTTGTTTATTGGTTGATTTGCTGTTTTTCACTTAAAAATATTTTTAAAATTTTTATTTTATGTGCATGTATGTCTGTGTACTACTTGCCTGCCAGGTTTTTATGGAGGCCAGAAGGGGCATCAGAGCCCCTGTAACTGGAGTTAACAGGCAGTTAAGAAGCCGCCATGTGGGTGCTGGGAATTGAACCCAGATCCTCTGGAAGAGCAGCCAGTGCTCTTAACCATTGAACCATCTCTCCAGCTCCTGAATTTTTTTTTTTAAATATCTATTTTCATTTTATTTTTTTTCTGAGACAGTCTTAACTGTGTCGGGCAGGTATCTGACTCAACAATCTTCCTGCCTCAGCCCCCTTTTCCAAGTGCAGGTAATACGGGAGAGATCTGAAATACTCACATTCCAGCTTTCCTTAGAATATAACAGATGGCCAATAGCCCAACAGTATTCCAAATTTGCTCAGACATTCAAGGGATATTAGCTCAAATGGTTCAGCAGAAATCAAGTAGCTCAAAAAAGCCTCCAATCCAACAAGAAGGCAAAGCCCTGGGCAAACTGACCAGGAGAGATTTACCTGAGTTCAAAACAATGTGTCTAACCAGTCGTCTCGCTTTGCTGAATTCAGGTCCAAAGCAGCTCACGCTGGCTGAAACCAAAAATCAGAAGTCCCCCAGAAAAGCATTCTAGGGAAACATATGGGGCCTGTTAAATCTTCCCTCTCCACTCAGGGCCAACTTGCTTGCAAGTGCCGGCCTAGCTTGCCAAATTGTTACCAACGCTCTTACAGGGTCAAAGCCTTAGCAAGCTGGGTTCAGCCTCCACTTGCTTCAGTAGGGCAATCCGAGACAGTAACACTGGGAAGATCCAGGAGATCCATCCTGTGGGGCTAGACTGGGAAGAGAAACCAATAAAGAGGTTCGGTGGTCCCCATGTCAACTTTGGGGTAATGACATGGGGTTTATGTTTAAACAGGTGGCTAGAAGTATACATAACTAAGAGTCTGTTCAAAGCCAGTCCCGCCGGTCACCGACCCATCATTATTTCCGTGCCTATCTTTCTTACAAGTCGGTAAGATAAACTGTTGCAAATGTGCTTAATCTCTTCCTGGGAGACCAGCTCTTCCTCCATCCACACCAGGCTTCGTTCAGCCTTGAGAGCAGCAATCCGGTATCTCAAGGACCATTGTTTTTAGTATTCTGATAGCCAAAGGGAGGACACAAATGCCTCTCCTTGAAGTATCTCCTCTCCTGCCAGGGCAATTCTTACCATCCTTTAGTTTCATCTAGAAAGGGAAATAGCAGAGCTATCAAATATCACACATGGCATATGCTGCCAAGGTCTAAGTGTTCTGGCTGAATCCAAACTGTTTTCTGGTCCAAATGTATCATTCTGATTGAAAAACCAGCCTTTCCGTTTTGCGTGGTTCTTATAACCACTAGATGACCAAGAGGAATTTGTCCCTCTCCACAGCACTGCCAGAGAAGAGCACATGAGAAAAAATCTGCCCAACGATGCTGCAGGAAGGTGATGGCCAGCGAGACGTCCATCATCACCCGGCTGTTTGAAGGACAGCTCAGTTACAGCATCACGTGTTTGAAGTGTGAGAACTGCACCTACAGGAATGAAGTCTTCACCGTCCTCTCCCTCCCCATCCCATCCGAGTATGAATGCTCCCTTCAGGTAGGAGCCCCAGCTCCTGAATTCATGTTCTGTTTTTTGAGACTGGGTTTTCTTGTTGTGTCATCCAGGCCAGCCTGGGACATTGGACTCAAGTAACCCTGCCTGAGTCTCCCAGATAGTGCGATTACAGTCATGGCTGTGATTTCCTACAATTTTAGTAGGAGACGGCTGTTGTGTGCCTTAAAGATATAAAGTCCATGAATGAACAGCATTTTTTTTTTTTGAAAAGCAACCTATGGTTAATAATTACTGTAAATTTAATTGTATTTCTAGAGGTACTCAAGACAAAGCCTCACTTAAAATTATAAATATGGGTGAGGTTTATTCAATCTCTTGAGATGGGGAGTTTGTGACCTTATGACTCACTCCCACCTCCATACTCTATACTTTAAGGCTAGGACTAGCTATAATGGACTCTTTTATAAAGATTTATTTTCATTACATAGGGTATGCATGTTTGCCTGAATGCATTTATGTGCACCATGTGCATGCTTGGTGCCCAAGAAGGCCAGAAGAGGGCATCACATCCCCTGGAACTGCAGTTAAAAACAGTTGTGAGCCACCACATGGGTGCTGACCCTGGATCCTCTGCAGGAGCAGCCCATGTCTTACCGTTCAGCCTCTCCCCAGCCCCCACGACTTTTAGTCTTACACTTCGGATGGAAGCTGTGGGTTCTGTTGGGAAGAGAGAGGATTCTGGTGGCTTGATTTGCCTCTCGGATTCCTTCACCACAGCGCTCAGAACTAACCTCTAAGTGGGGAGGGGGGGTGATGTGGATACAGCAGAGGAAGGAAGTGACTGGTTAGGAGCCGTCAGGAACCAGGGAACCAGGGAACGCTTTTCTTGCAGAGTTTCCCACAAATTTTTCTTTTGAGATTGAGAAAACATCTGCTGGAAGCAGTTTTCGTATGTATAGTCGGGGAACAGAACCCTATTACTTTTTATTTTGTTTTCCCTTAGATCAAAAGGCTCAAGATTACTGGAAAGAACTCCAGATTCTTGAAGGAAGCACTGGCAGGTCTAAGGAAAACAGTCTGTACCGCACCACCACCACCCCCCCTCTAAACCAAGAACTTGCAGAAACAGGGCCTGGCTAGAGAAGTCACCTCCTGGGGTGTGCGCTCTGACTCATCTACTGTAGATTTGTCATCCCAAACCATGAGATATGCTCGATTTTCAAACTGCTCTCCCCTCTGTTGAGTCAGCAGATTTATAATAGAAAACAGATGTCCGATTTGTTATTAGGAATTTCAAAGTCTGTATTATTCTGAAATAAACCAGAAAAGTTAAAGTGATAATTCATAGATTATTAGTGGGAAAAGAACCTAAGCCCATCTCAGCAGCTCGGTGAAAAAGCACCACTTGTTGCTAGGCAGATTTTTATTTATTATTCTTAAGACAGGGTCTCACTGTGTAGCCCTGGCTGACCTGGAACTTGGGATGCAGATCAAGCTAGCTTTGACTTGAAGAGCACCTCCTGTGTCTGGATTAAAGGTGTGAGCCACCAGCCCCAGCTCAAAAAACAAAACAAAACAAAAAATGCTAGGTAGATTTTTACAGGACTCTGGTGGTAGAGCGTCGTAACTCCTGGGTCTGTTCCTTAGAAAAACTCCCAGAAGCACATTTATACAGCTCTTCAAAGTTGTTGTTTGGGGTGAGGGAGGGTTCTGGTTTTTTGTCTTTTTTCGAGACAGAATTTCTCTGTGTAGCTTTGGTGCCTGTCCTGGAACTCACTCTGTAGACCAGGCTGGCCTCGAACTCACAGAGATCCGCCTGCCTCTGCCTCCTGAGTGCTGGGATTAAAGGCGTGTGCCACCACTGCCTGGCTCCAAAGTTTTATGGTTTTGTTTGTGTGTTTGTTTGAGAGATAAGGTCTCCTTGTATTAGGATCCTCCTGCCTCCACCTCCAATGGGCTGTGATTCTGAACGAACACAACCAACTCCTGCTTTCCTCTAATGTCAGCAGGGGTCCCTGGTCATCAAATGCTCTTTCTCCCCCAACAGGACTGTCTCCAGTGTTTTTTCCAACAAGACACATTGACCTGGAACAACCAAATCCATTGTTCTTTTTGTGAAATCAAGCAAGAAACAGCTGTGAGGTCCACTATTTCCAAAGCACCAAAAATAATTGTTTTTCACTTAAAAAGGTATGTGGATTTTGACATCTTGTGGGCAGATGGTTTTCAACAATTTTACTGAGATGTCATTCACATACTAATGGTTTATCCATTTAATATGTAACTTGTTCTAAAATCGGGGCAAAGTGGGTACTTAGCTGCAAAGTGACCCGGGTTTAGTCCTCAGTGTCAGAGAAGTGAAGAGTGAAGAGGCCAATCCATGTGCTGGACTGGATTTCAGTTTAATATGAAATTTCTTTTAAATTTTGTAATACTATCATTTTGATCATTTCAAGTGTGTACTCCATTTGCATTAATTACCCTTACAGTGTTAAATGTCAACAGCCACAATTTCCAGAACTTTTTAATACCCCAGACAGAAGCCCTGTTCCCATTAAGCAATACCTCCACGTTTCCCCTCTCCCTCCTCCTACTAATGCATCTTCCATGTAGATTTACCTGTTCATTCACTAGAGTGATTGTGCCAGCTAGTGTTATGTGTCAGCTTGAAACAAGCTAGAGTCATCTGAGGAGGGAGCCTCAATTGAGAAAATGCCTCCATAAAAATCAGGCTCTAGGCAAGCCTGTAGGACATTTTCTTAATTAGTGATTGATAGGGGAGGCCCAGCCCATGGTGGGTGGTGCTACTTCTGAGCTGCTGGTCCTGGGTTCTGTATGAAAGCAGGCTGAGCAAGCTATGATGAGCAAGCAAGCAAGCAGCTCTCCTCCATGGCCTCTGCATCAGTTCCTGCCTCCAGATTCCTGCCTTGAGTTCCTGCCCTGACTTCCCTCAATGATGAACCGAGATGTAGAATGGTGAGCTAAGTCAACCCTTTCCTCCCCAAGTTTCTTTGGTCATGATGTTTCCTCAGAGCCATAGCAACCCTAAGACAGAGCTTGGTACCAGGGTAATGGGCTATTGCTGTGACAGACTTGATGGTGTTATGTTGGGGAGAATTGTAGGACCTTGGAACTTGGGGCTAGAAAAGCCAATGAGTGTGGAGAGCTCAGTGGGCTGTTTTGTAGGACCTTGGAAGATAAGGGTGTTGAGAGGGCTGGAGACCACGGAGGTCTGGCTTATGAAGGTCCAGAGGGAAGCTGAGAGCTATTTAAAGACTAAGCTGGGCAGTGGTGGCACACACCTTGATTTCCACCACTTGGGAGGCAGAGCCAGGAGGATCTCCGTGAGTTTGAGGCCAGCCTGGGCTAGAGAGAGAGATCCAGGACAGGCACCAAAACTATGCAGAGAAACCCTGTCTCAAAAAACCAAAAAAAAAAAAGACCGTCAGGGCTGCTGCCTATTTTGCTATTTTGAATTAGCTCTGTGGTTCTGGTCAGCTGGGCCTGAAAACTCAGCTGTGATTATCAAGACCCAGGGCCACTGCTGTGAAACCTCTGCTTGCTGTGACTACTGGACACTGGCTGGACGTGAGAAGTTAACAGTGATTAAAGAGACCAGTGTCCCTGGGGTGACACTGAGAAGTTTCCTCAGAGTCAGTCAGCCTGCGGAAGCCGTGCTCCATAGGAGGCCGAGGCTGTACCGTGTGCTACCATCTGAACTTGGTTATGTGTAAGAGTCACCCATGTGGTACTGGTTTTGAAGCCACGATGGGGTCATGGAGAGCAGCGAGGCTTGGTGCTGCAAGAGGCCATTGGTGAATGCACAGCCTCGGCGGCAACGGAAGCCCCAGGATTGAAGGGGTCAGGGTGAGAAGTCTGCTTCACATTGTACTTTTAACATGAGATATTGGAAACAACAAGAAAGGGAAGGTTATGTTTAATAAGTGATGTGTTTGTGTGTCGGCAAGGGATCACTTGTGCTAGTTAGTTTTTATGTCATCTTGCCACAAGCTAGAGTCATCTGAGAGGGGGGAACCTCTATTGAGAAAATACCTCTATAAGATCAGGCTGTAGGCAAACCTGTAGGGTATTTTCTTAATCAGTGCTTGACTGGGGAGGCCCCAGCCCATTGTGAGTGGGGTCACCCCTAGGCTGGTGGTCCTGGACTCTGTAAGAAAGCAGGCGGAGCAAGCCATGAGGAACAAGCCAGTAAGCAGCATCTTCCATGGCCCATGGCCTCTGCGTCAGCTCCTGCCTCCATGTCCCTGTCCTTGTTTGGGCTCCTGCCCTGACTTCCTTCCTTGATGAACTGTAGTGTGGAAGGAGGAGCCAAGTTAAACCGTTTCCTCCCCAAGTTGCTTTGGTCATGGTGTTTCCTCACAGCAATAGTAACTCTAACCAAATCAGTGATGTTGGATAGCGGCGGCATTAAAGGCGTACGCCACTGCCACCAGGTCCTGTTGGCTTTTGATAATGAACTTAAACAGGGCAGGATCCTGGAGGCAGGAGCTGATGCAGAGGCCATGGAGGGGTGCTGCTTACTGGCTTGCTCCCCATGGCTTGCTCTGCCTGCTTTCTTAGAGCCCAGGACCAGCAGCCCAGGGGTGGCCCCACCCACCATGGGCTGGATTCTTCCCCATCAACCACTAATACAAGTGAGATAGCATTTAACTCCCCCATGCCATGGTAATTTGTTGGTAGAAGATATTTTTTAGAAGTGAAGTTGAAGGCCAGACAGCTAGCTCAGGGGGTATCCCCCCCATGACCTAGGTTTGCCCTTTGGGAGCCACATGATGGGAGGAGGAGAGAAGCAGCCTTCTTTCTCTAAGTTCCCTCCACATGTGCACTTGGCACACAATCCCTTCCCGCCAAGTTCTACGGCCCACTAAGGAGCTCTGGCTTTGAGTTTATTAAGATAGATTTACACACGGGCTGGAGAGACGGCTCAGGGCTAAGAGCACTGGCTGCTCTTTCACAGGGCCAGGGTTTGGTTCCATCATGGCCCACCACCTCGAACTCCAGGTCCAGGAGATCCAAAGCCCTATGCTGACCTCCACAAGCAACGCATGTGGTATACACGCACACACAAGGGCAAAACACTTATGTACATGAAACTTCAAAATAAGCGAAACTCTTAAAAATACATATTTACACATATAAAATGCATTTGGTGTATGAAATTGTATAAATGCACAGTCAAATCTGTGGCAACCCATATATCAACAACATCTGTCACTCCAGAGAATTCTGACGGTTCTTTACCACCATTGCCATAAACCCAGGGAATTACTTCAAGTATGTGGATGCCTCTGTGGGAGCTGTGTGTGCACGCCCATGTGGGCCAAAGGGTGGCGTCTGGTGTCTTCCTCAGTCACTTTCGGGTATCAAGGCAGTGTCTCTGGCTTGAACCCAGGGCTCACCGATTTGGATAATCCAGTTAGCCAGCTTGTGCTAGGGTCTCTGCCTCCTGAATGCCGAGGTTACAGGTGGGCCACATGCTCCCTGGCATTGACATGGGTGCCGGATATCTAAACTCAGCTCCTTACATTTACATGGCAACCCCCCCTCCCCGATCCATCCCCACAGCCCACCCCAGGGAATGACTAATCTGTTTTCTGTCCCCACGGTTTTGCCTCTTAGAACACCCTCCATCATGATGCTGTGAAGGGTCACCATGACCACAGCAACTCTTATAAAGGACAACATGTAATTGGGCTGGCTTAGAGTTCAGAGGTTTAGTCCATCATCATCATGGCAGGAAGCATGGTAGCCAGCAGGCAGACACGGTGCTGGAGAGGTAGCTGAGAGTTCTACATCTGGATCCCCAGGCAGCGGAGGGACGGTGACACTGGGCCTGGCTTTAGCTGCTGAAACCTCGAAGCCCTCCCCCAGTGACACACTTCCTCCAACAAGGCCGCACCTCCTAACAGTGCCCCTCCCTATGGGCCTATGGGGGGGCCCTTTTCATTCAAACCACCACACAGGGCATCCCCTTAGTTTTGGAGGATAGGGTTTCCTGCTTTATGGTCAAAGAATAACCCATTTCATCTAGTAATTCCCCTGCCTCATACCTAAATCAGCACATTTTTCTGAGTGAACATTTTTTTTAAAAGTTCTGAATGATTCTGGTAAGATTTGGTGACTTCTGTGAAAGATTTGAACAGAATTTCTTACTAAAACATTATATTTAGATTTAGATCTCTGCTTTGAATCCAGGATGCTAACAGTGCCAACACCAAGACAGGAGCCAGGTGTGGTGGTGCATGCCTTTAATCTCTGCATTCTGGAGGCAGAGGCAGCTGATTTTGGAGTTTGAGGCCAGCCTGACTATACAGTTCTAGGCCAGTCAAGGCTACATAGTGAGACTCAGGGGAGAGGAAGGAGGGAGAGGTGGACGGAGGTCCGGAGAGCAGAAAGAAATGGGAGGTGGTTTGACCTAGGCCTTTTTGGCACACCAGGCAAGGTTTGCTGAGGTCTACACTGTCTCTCGTTGACTCATTTTGGTGAGGCTGATGGGTCTGCCATTTATAAATATATTTCAATAAGGAAGTAATTTATATACCAGATAATCATCTCAAAAGTTACTCTAACTGTACTTGGAATATATCTAGACATGTGGACCTCATTCATAAGTAGCTTACAAACTTATTTTGAATGTCATGCATTTGTTATTTCTTCAGGTTTGACATCCAGGGTACAGTAAAGAGGAAGCTGAGGACAGACGTCCGTTACCCACTCACGAACTTGGACCTCACGCCTTACATCTGTCCAATTTTCCGGAAACATCCTAAGTACAACCTCTGTGCAGTGGTGGTGAGTTTAATACTAAAACTCCTAAAGGAGTAGAACATCCTGTCTTCTGCCTCCTCCCTCCTCCCACTTGGTGGCCACTGCAGAGCTATGAGCCTTGGCCACGTGCACCCCAGAGGTCAGGTCTATGTTAATAGTGTGCCTTGTGTAATCATGAAGCACTTTGTAGCCAGCACCCACACACCTGGAACAGTCCCAGGACTCCGTGCTTGGCTGAAGCCTGGCCCAGGGGCTCCCTTTGGCTCTAAGTCAGCTATGATTGGTGCCGAGTCCTAGCAAAGGATTGGGTATGCCGTCCCCACAGTCCAGAATCTCCCGCATGAAACAGCCTGAGCAGAGGCGTTCTCTGAGCTGTTGTGTCGGAGGGTGGGGGTCCTTCCAGAGTGCAAGCCTGTCACAGGACCCTCTGACATGCTGAAATTGAGTCTGCCAGTCCATCTTATTGCTCAGTAGTATATTGAAAAATGAAGTCAGATGTGGTGTTGTACACCACCAGCATTCAGGAGACAGAGCAGATCTCTTGAGTTCAAGGTCAGCCTGGTCTCCATAGTGTGTTCTAGGACAGCCAGGACTTGTAAGTGAGACCTTGTCTCAGAAATATTGAACAGATAAAGAGGGAGGGACTGTGGCTAGTCTTCCACATCCCAAGGTTCAGAGCTGCCCTCAGACTTGCACAACGCTCACTTCTTATTCTCCTGTAGGCCATCTGTCTCCTTTACAGCATTTACCCTTCCTCTCCACACAGCTATTTCCCCACACTCTGGGGTCTACAGTGGCTTCTTCCTCTCTCCCATCAGATGTAGATGCTAATTATTGTGAGGTCCAAAGGTGCTGTGTCCTGAGATCTGTTTCTGATTCAGGAAAACCAGTTTTTGTTTGTTTTGTTTTGTTTTTTTAAATGTTCTTTGGGGGTTTCGCCTGCATGTTTGGCTGTGTGAGGATGCTACAGCCCCTAGAACTGGAGCTACAGACAGTTGTAAATTGCCACGATGGGTGTTTGGATCCTGGGCAAGCACTCTACCAACACTCCAGCCCCCCCTCCCCCAGCTTTTTATTTGTACAAAAACAAGACTGTCTACAGGTGGTTTAACAGAAACACCAGCATTCCCCTGTACCGCCACAAAGAGCCAAGCTTGTCCAGGATCCACAAAACGTTAGTTGGTTTCAATGTACAACACCATAAACTGTCACTGGTGGTGCATACCTATAATCTAAGCACTCAGCAGGTAGAGGCAGGACCAGAAGGTCAAGGTTATCCTCACCTGTATAAGCTTGAGGCTAGGCTGGGCCACATTAGACTCTGTCTTGAAAAACTGTTTTTTGAAGAAAAACACATATAATCTGAGTATACAATTTGGCAAGTTGTCCAGTGAACACATCCATGCAATAAGAACAGGGCTCATGCTGGGCAGTAAGTAACACACGCCTTTAATCCCAGCACTTAGGAAGCAGAAGCAGGTGGATCTCTTGAGTATGAGGCCAGCTTGGTCTACAGAGTTGGTTCCAGGACAGCCAGGGCTACACAGAGAAACCCTTTCTGTGGGGGCAGGGGATGCTCAGCCATTACCATCAGTATGTAATGGTCCTTATTCCTCTTCAGGTGTGGAAACCAGACCTCTAACACAGTAACTCTACTTTCATGCTTTATGCAAATTCACCCTGCAGTAGGTCCTCATGGGATCTGGTCCTTTGCTCAAAATTCTGTTAATTTCAGTTATAGTTCTATACTCTAGTTATACTACAGTTCATTCTCACCACTGGATAGGCTTCCACTGCATGAGTGTTACTGCGCTTGCTCTTGCACGTTTTGGTGAACAGATGTACATGGACTTTTGGAGTCTATTGTTGGGAGTCAGTACTGGCGGGTGAGTATGCATATGCCAGCATTAGTAAACAGACTAGTGGCATTCCAAAGCAGTTGCTCATGTTCACCTCAGTAGTAGCAATGGAAAGTGTGGTCGCCTTAAGTCCCTGCTGAACTTGGGAGCTTTCTGTTGGGCCATCTAGGGGCTCGCACGGTGGGACAGCACTTGAACTTGCTTCCTGGGTGCTGGGATTTCAGGTGTGTCCTAGCCTGTCCTACTGAGGTGTGTTTTCTGTGTGTCTTTGCCTGTTTTTCTATCCTGTTGCCTGTGTTTTCTTACTGTGTTACAGGTCTGAGTACAGACTGCTTGCCTGGCTGTCTGCATCTCTAGGTTCACATCTGGGAAAAACAGATCTTTCCAAACTGCAGCTATTTATTCACCTAACATGCCTCAGCAGGGGCATGTCAGGGCAGTGACTCACTGAGGGGGACACTTGCCCACGGACCTAAGGCCCTCTCAGAAGTCCCCATCTATGAAAGTTCTACCATCTCACACTTTGGGGACAAGGTCTGCATATGTGGATCTATGGGTGGCACCGTTCCAGACCACAGTGTGTGTGTGTGGTGTGAGTCTGTGCTCAACAAATACAGTCAGTATTTGCCTGGCTGTAAACTTTTTGTCTTTCAGACTTAAAAATACGTATTTGGATAACTGTGAACTTCTCTTAGTGTGTACAGTTCAGTGGGATTTGGTGTCTGTTTACACAGTTGTCCATTATCATCACAATTACATTCTAGAACAGTTTCAGTATTCCTAAGAGTCTTCTCGACTCATTTCTTCTCCCCACCAGCCCCTGGCAGTCAGCCAGGGGCTTCCTGTTTCTCTTGGTGTGCCATCTTAGACACCTCACACAATGAAATCACACAACTGCCTCATCTTGGGTTTTTGTTTGAGACAGAATGTCGATATGTAGCCCTGGTTAGCCTGAAACTCATTCTGTAGACCAGGCTGGCCTTAAGTCCCTCTGCCTCTAAAGTAGGTTAAAGGCACGAGTGTTGTTTCTCAGCATACTTTTAAGGTTTCCCTGTGTTGTAGCATGCACTTTTGTTTTTGTTAACATTCTACTGTGTGAACATACCACATTTCATTTATTCATTGGGAATACTTGGGATGACTCCACTTTATAACTGGTACCATTAATGCCGCACACAGGGTTTTGTGTGGACAGTTTCTCTTGAGGATATACCCAAGAGGGAATTGCTAGACATATGCTAACTGTACACTTAACCCTTGAAGAGTTGTCAACTTGATTTCTTTTTTTTTTTTTTTTTTTTTTTTTTTTTTTTT